TAGGCCAATGCCCCAGTGGTGGTGCTTCTTCGTTGAATCATCATGAACAGAAGTGTTTCGAGTTGTACAAGCATATCTGGGGAGTTGAATCTACCGTTAAGTCTAATGAAGGAGATGTGAAGGAGGAGTCATCGCTTGGTGTGACAGAATCTGATGGATGGTTCGAAAACTCATTTCTTGTTCCATCGGTTGAGATTCTTGGTGTGGATTCTGTGAAAGAACTATGGAGCAAGGTGCCGATTGAGAGCAAGAAGAAAACTGAAGAGAAGATAAATTTGTTGAAAAAATGTGAACATCAATGCAAGAACGTTGAAGAGATCTTGAAGAGCAGGAGAGATGAATCTGTGTTGCAAAGGCTAGCTCTCTTGAGTAAGGTTACCTCTGTCATCACGGAAGCGAAATAGAATATGATTAAGCTGTCTTTTCTTTTTAGATGCAATGCCTCCTTTTGTTTTTTGAACTTGGGATTTTAACTTTCTGGTTTTCTAGTACTATTGCTTATGATCCTCTATTTTGGATTGTTGTCTTTGTATGAAGACGTTATGAAAAAGGACGATTGATATGAAGTAAGAGATCATATCTCTTAATATCATATTTGAACACATGATAGCTATTGTTTTAATAAGTATGCAGTTCATACTTTTTTTTTTTTGAGAAAAGGCTTTTATGCAGTTCATACTTGAAAATTTATATAGAATAGTTTTAGACAGAACCTGTTTTTTTTCTTGCTTGTCTAATGCATATCCGCATTGCTCTTTTTGATCTTGCTGTTTCTGGATCCGGTGATCCAATTTTCCGTTTATTATTTACCATTTACATCAGTAGTTTAACCTTCATGCTCCACTTTCACCAATTCCATTGCTTGACTTCGTTTGTTCACTGCAAACCAAAGGAATACGTATTATTGTAACTGGATAAATTACTAAACTTATCGGAATAAAGGAAGAAGTTGGAGTGACCATTAGTTTTAGGAATTGCCTTTCTTTGTTTGGTTCCTGCTAACTGGAACTGAAAGTTAGAATTTAGAAGAGATACTCGGTCTAATTTTTTTTTTAATCGAAGTTCTTAAGCTGAGTTTTCCTGCTTTTTTGTGAAGATCAATGTTGGAAATGAACTCTCCGTAAGTTTTGTTGAACGGTGAATTTGATCTCTGAATTTTCTAATTTTGTTTTTGAGCTTATATAATAGGTCTGTCCAATTGTTGATGTGTTTATTGAGGTGTAGTTAATGTATCTGTTACGAACAATTAAGGTCGTTACTAATACGTTTTTTTGTCATAAGGTATTGTGTTGTGACTGTTTAAAATCCAACATTGCGTTATTTGTCTGGCTAGAGTTGTTGAACATTGGGACCTGCTTTATATGAAAGAATGACCGAGTTCTTTGGCACAATGACAAAACAGGGGAATACTGAGTAAGAAGTAGTTATTGGGATAAGAACCGGCGTGCTGAGTTGCTGACTATGTTCTGTGAAAAGAAAGATTGAGATCAGACTGTTCTTATGAACAAACCATAATTCTGAAGTTATGAAGTGAAAAAAGGCTGAAGCAAAGAGTATTTTTTTTACCTTATTAGATCTTCGACCTGAATTAACCAACCACTTGTGAGATTTCGACATCTCTACTTCTCCATGATTCCTGTAATTAAAGCGCTACCTTCATATCATTTTTTGGAAAATAAATGGTAAAATTTCAAAATCTCGAAGTAAATATGAATCGAATAAACATACCCGGGGTAAAGAGGCATGAAGAAAGGATAATGAGAAAGAGCTTCAGAAGAATCCTCCGAAAGTACATATCTGAGAGGATTTGAGGATTCAAAGTAGATGTGTTTGTTGACGCAGGAAAAAGGGTGTTTTTCTTTTTAACTGGTCTCAATTTATTTTTGTGGGAAGAGCATTTATTATGAAGATTTTAAGTTGTCACGTGTCACTCTCTCCAATGCTGACGTGTTAAGCAGCTGGAGAAAGTTGAGCAAGTATTATATGTTAGACTAGATGAATACCCGTGTATACACACAGGTTTTCTTTCAATTAATAATTTTTAATTTAATTTTTGGAAATTTATGTTGTGATTATCTAATTTTGGTGTTTTATTTGATATGTGCATAACATTTTTACAGAATAAAAAAGTTAATATGCTAATTCTAAAATTGAGAGAACTATTTATATGAATTCATTATTGTTGATAAAATTTCAATTGTAGTTGTCGATATGTCGTAATTTTTAAACAATCTCTATTTCTCCACTGACTCGTAAAGAGTCACTTAAACATTCATCTAGATCTTCCATTTGAACTAAACCACTGGCCACTATAATTATTCTTCCAAAGAGCTATTTTGGTCACCGTGCACTCCATTAGTAGGCTCCATGATCCTCTCATTCCACATAGCTAGTGTGTTCTTAGCTTTTTCAACCTTCTTATACAACTCGTTCCTCTTTAACTCCTTCTCCATTTCCTTTTTCTGTGATTTACTCATAGATTTCTTCTCGGATTTATAACCCTCCAATTCCAGTTTCTCTTTCATTTCCCTCACTTCCAAAACCGCACATTTTCTTTCTAAAGCCCTAACTCTCTTCTCAATCTCAGCTTTCGCTTTCCTCAACCTCTCTCCTTCCTCATAGCTTTCAAACCTCTCACCTTTCTTTGTTAACCCTTTTTTGGATCATTGTACATTCACTTCATGGTGTTGTTAAATTCTAATTATAAAGGCTTTAGTCTCCCAAAATATCAACCAGACATTCAAAAGAGCAATTGAAGTGTTGCCTTTATGAAATTGGTATAAACTGGGGTATGATAAATTTACATGAAAATGAATCAGTTTAGAAAAGTTGATGAGCTTAAAAGAGATTTTTATAACTTGACGTGCTTCGAGATATTTAAAAGCCAGCATTTATCCATTCTAACGTCATCTTTATTCCCTAAATCAATGCTGTTCTTATCTCAGTATCATATTTGCCAGTGATCTGATCTTTTAATCTAGTCCCACTACATCATCAACAGAAGCATAAGAAATAAAGACTTATACACCTGAGGCTGCAGATTCAAAAAGATCAAAAAAAAGTGAAACTATGATCATTAACGATGAATCAGAGAGAAAGCAAAACTTCATTTACATGAAACTTCAGAGCTTTTGCTTGTTTTGAGCTGTGGACATTTTTGAGCTGTGGACATTTCTTTTGTTTTGACCAAAGATATGGGAAAACCCAACAAATAGATTGTAAGAAATTTCTCTCCTGCGACATTTCTCTTCTTGCACTTCAAGTCGGGTTATTTACTCCACTTTTGATGCTAGTAATTAGTTTTTGCAAAATTAATACGACACAGAGAATTGAGGTTGAATTAATCTGATTAATAATTTGAGTCATTTGACCATTAATTAATGAATAAGAAATTGAGTTTTTTTTTCAAGCTGACGTGTCAAAATAATAGGAGCTGATGTGTCAAGTTTGTGAGACGCAACCCACTCTTTATATAATAAATGCATCAAAAACTTAGAAAATTAATATATGAATCTAAAAAAAATCATATATATAGAACATAAGTAATTATTACTTCGCAGAAAACGCAAACGCTTTCAACAAGCCCTAATATCTCTGTATTTGGGAAACTGTTGTTTCTGGAAAACATAACATGTCATTATAACATTTGGGAAGCTCAAAAGCCTATCTTCAACTTTTTATATATACTCGTTTGGAGTTAGTTTATGTACCAATAACCCTAACACTTCACCACTCACTCACAGAATGCAAGTCAATCACACTCCCATGGTAAAGGAGAATCTCAAGCAGCCGTTAGAAGATTCATTGTCCGCATCTTCAAGCAACAGCGAGCAGAACAAGCCTGAAGATCATCCAACAAAGATTTTCAAGAACAAAGAGGCATGTGGTTCAGGCCAGGCTCAGGCGGTGAAATCAGGAGCAAAGCGGCCAAGTGAAGGTACCTCGAAGCCAGCCTAGAAGATTTCTACATATGTTTGGAAGGAGAAGGAACCAATTCCTTTTAAAAAACTGTTTGAGGATGTACCGCCCATTGTGATGGAACCTGAGTGGTTCCAAAACTCATTTCTTGTTCCATCGATTGAGATTCTTGGTGTAGATTCCGTGAAAGAGCTGTGGAGCAAGGTGCCGACTGAGGCCAAGAAGAAAACTGAAAAGGAGATGAAGTTGTTGCGTGATGATGAACTCTTCTGCAAGAAAACTGACAGGGTGTTGAAGGCCATGAAGAATATATATGTCATGCGAAGGCTTGCCGTGTTGAATGAGGTTACTTCTTTGCTCATGGAAAAGAAGTAGAACAAGAACATGAATAAGTTGTCTTTTTTTAGATGCGATGCCTCCTTTTGATTTATGAACTTGGGATTTTAACTTTCTGGTTTTCTAGTAGTAGCTTATGATTCTCTATTTTGGATTGCTGTCTTTGTATGAGAATCAAAATATGTTTGCTTTCAAGAAGTATTTTCTCTGCAGGATATGGAGGAGCCACTAGATGAGACTAAGAATGAACAAATGAGTATCTAGACAAATTTTGTTGAATGAGTCAAATAAAAACTTCTAGTGATCTCTTTGTGAAAAGATGCAGAGTTTCAAGGTTTCCATACCTAGAAAAAAACATAATATTTGTCTGAAAGATTGAAAACAAAACATCAACCCAAATATCACTAGATCTCTGTAGCTTTGCTTCACTTTTATGCCAAAATTATATTCACTAGTTGTAGTCGCAACTTAAAATTTTGTTCTGTACTGAAGTCATCTATGTATATTCAACAATTTGGCACAAAAGATCGACAAAATCTATCAAAGTAGAGAGTGACATACACTACTCAGTTTCACTGGTTTCTTGTTCCACAGGAAATGTTGTTGCACCGTTTTTACCCTTGCTTGCATCCCAACGTATCGATAACAGAATGTTCCTCAGTTTCGGTATGTCTTTCTCCTTGACAAATACCGCGAACTCCTCCCATTCCAAAACCTCGAAAAACGGAGGGACGAGGAGTGTGGATTTCATAACCGGAACACATTCGTTCATTATAGCTTCAACAACTCTAGGAGTGTGGACTTCATAAGCTCTAGCACATATACAGTACCTGTTGAAATGAGAGTTTAACTTCTCTTAGAACTAAGAACAGTATGAATTATAAACAAAGTTCAGTTTCATGAAATAACAAGCCCTTTCCTTGACACTACCTGCTGCTCTTCATGTATTCGCGGTATTGTTTCTTGCTTTGAGGGTCACGAGGCATTGGACCGAGAATCTTCATGTCAGGTTCTTTGTTCTCCCAAAGCTGAAGAAGGATTGGTCGGAGATATCCATGCATGCTGTATTGATCCCGATTCTGAAGCCTTGTGCAACATTTGAGTTGCAAAGTGCTCTAACACTGTTCTTCATGTGTTTTTTTGTCAGTTTGTTTCCCTGTAAGTTAACATACAAACAATTTTGATTTTCAGAGCTTTACTCACATCTTAACATAAAAAAAAAAGGTACAAACGGAAGGAAAAACACAAAAGTTATTCTTTAGTAAAATCAAATGAATAAAGAGAATACCACCAAAAACAAAGAACCCATTTCCCTTATACATATAAGTTGATAAAACCTCTAAAAAACCAATAACTTCCCTAAGCCAATTTCCCGGAATGGATCTCACCAACAAATCCTAAGAAATCCTCAAAACTGACAGAAAAATTCCTAATTAGCATATGAACTAAAGGCATTTTTTCAGAAACGACCTTGTATCTGAAGCTTATAGAAATGACTCTCATTAACATATAAGAATAAAAGAGAGACAGAAAGAAGATGATTATGTACCCAATCATGGCAAGCAACAAGAAAATGATCGGCTCCACCAGTTCGGTTCCAGAACTTGTATTTTCCTGCTATCAAATCTACATATTCCTCCAAATGGTCTGCGAGGCTCTTTGGTGTCTGAAAATCCCGTCCCAGAGAGGTCCTTAGAGCTTTTATGCTGACAGGTATGTAAAACAAATGAGCCTTTTCTCGGGTCCTTTACTACAAACTTCTTGTTGCTTTCCATTAGTTTTATGAACCAACCTTCTGATGCGTAGATTCCTCTAGGCTTTGGCTTATGGAATATCGGTTTCTTTCCTTCCTAGGACACATAAACTTTGAGTTTCCTCTCCAGCAAGTCATAACTCCTAATTAAGCAAACACATCACCACTCCTACTCCAAACATTCCAAAAGTCTCAAACTTTAAACCAACATTCTCTAGATCTTCAAGATTTGCAGAAACAAGAAAAAAGATGTTGATATTGACACTGTGGTGGTTAGTTTGAAACCACAAAGGAGTTCTATGAGTCAAGTTTTCTATGGCGAAGTGACTACTGATCAAAGTCTCTTTCGCAAGCAGAAGGTTTCGACTTCTCTATCAAGTTGAGGGATTAATCAAATCCTCTCCCAGAAAGGGAAGGTCTTCATCACTTAGACAAAACTTAGAACAAGAAGTATGGGAAGGAGTCGGTGTGGATCCCAAGATAAAGACGCCTCATCCCGAGATCAAACTCCAAAGGATAGCGACGTTTTTCTACCTAATGTACTACCTACACTACCACAGGAGACAAAGGCGTGCTTGGAGACTGAAGAAGCAGAGCCTGCAGGAACTTCTTCTTATCTCCTGTTCGCTAAATGACAAGTTAACCAGAGTTGAGAACTCAGGTTTAGGACCGTTGTAGTTGTGTTGTCTTCGAGTATAAAGCAGAGTCAATGGGGCTTTGTACAGGTTAAGGTGTGTGTAGTAAGTATTGGTGTGGAGAGATTGTAAAGTGACAAAGAAGCACGGTCTGTGCTAAAGGTCTTAGTGGATTTTCCGGAAAGCTTTTTCGGCGAGACGTAGCGACCAAGTTTGGGTCGTGAACTCGTTAAATTCTCTGTGTCATTTTCATTTCTGCACTTTAAGTTCATACACACGAGTGATTACAATCAAAACAGAGAGAAGAGAGAGTTCTTAAAACACTTCAAAGATCATAACTTTGGTGTAAAAGAGGGAACTAAGCTTCACAGACACGTTGTGTGTGAGAGAGAGAGGCACTTTTGAAACTTGGAGATATTTCGATAAACTGAAGCATCAAGTCCAAGGAATCCAGGCACAACAGAAGCATTCTCAATCTCGGTTTTTGCAACATCAGTAGAGAGATTAAAGTATTTCATCTCGGTTTTGACCAAAGAGACTTGAGAGTCTACAAAACCTGAAACCTTAACCAGAGACAAGCAAGAAGCATAGCGACAGGGAAGACCAAAACACAGAACAACAAAACCAACTGTGACCACGATGATCCCCGACAGCAATCTGCGAATGTCGGAGTAATGAAATCTCTCTAATCGAGTAACTATTCTCATCGCAATTCGGAAGAACACCACCAAGCTGATGAATTGCATAGAATTGGATTCAAAATCATCAGTTAGCTTCAGAAACTGACCCGAAACAGAAAAATGAGGAGAGAAGAGAGAGCATCAGAAGAAGATCTTAATGAATCGGAAGTGAAAAGGTCCGTCATCAATGAGACTTTGAAGAAGTTGAAATTGGAAGAGACGCAACAATGGATCCTAGACACTGTTCCGTAGAGATCTCCGAAGAAAAACATTAATTCGAAGAAGAAAGAAGAAAGAAGAGTCAAACCGTTGAAACTCAGCTTGGCGCATTGACTTTCCACGGATGGTGAGCTGGATAAAGAGTCTGCTGACGTGGCAGAGTTGGATTAGTTGCAAGTGTGAACACAGAACTTGAGTATAAATATACTATATATTTCTTATTCTTCATTTTCATGTTGAGCACTATCATGTTGAGCACTAGGCAAAATATCCGTTATTTTATATAACAAATAAAATACTAAAATTTAATATCCATTAAAAACAGAGCAAATCACAAATATTAAAAAAAAATAAGACGGATATCCACTCTACTCTCGTATAAATATATATATATATATATATATAATAATTCATATAAACTATATTATTATATACAGATGTAATTTTGTGAATTTTTTTATAAATTTGATTATTGTAAATATTAAACCTTAATAAGATAAGGAAAAAATATATTTTATAAGAAAATATTGCCATTTTTGGCTAAATTTTGAAAATTTTAATTTATTAATTTTTAATATTTACTAGATTTTGATCCGTGGTATGCACGGAATAAGAATTAATTTATAATATTAGCATTGATGTTTTTTAGATGAAATATATAATTAGATATATTCATCTCTCATACGTAAATTTATAATCGCATATGTAAATCTTTTATTTCTCACCATCTTTAGTTGTTTCCTATATCTTTTAGTCTAATTTAAAAAAAAAAAATTTTCTTTTAACTATGTGATCTTATATATTTTTATTTTTAAAATTTTAAAGTTCTACTAATGAAGGTTTAACACTTTCAAAATCCATACAAATTTTCTAAAAATTCACAAAGTCTAACTTATCTTTTTTGTTCTTGCAATGATTTATTTTTTAAACCAAAAAAATAAACCTTATTTTTCTTTTTAATTTCTGTCCATTATTTTAAAGTCAAATCCTCTACTAAGTATGTTAACAATATTGTATTTTCTATAATATTTAGATGTATATGTTTGAAAAATTGTTGATTGCCTGTAACTCCTTTCTTGCTATCTTTATTGTTGTTCTATATAAGATTTTATAATTTTTTATTTATTTTAAAATCTTTTGTTCAATCAAGGTTTAAGACTTTTAAAATATGTAAAATTATATTAAAAATCCACAAACTTTGCTTAAATTTGTCTTTATGTTCCTACTATGGTTTATTTTCTAAAAGCCAACAAAAAAAATTTACTGTTTTTTTTTAAATCGCTACCCATTCTTTTTTTTCAAATTCTTTACAATATCTTTTTGATGTACATTAATAATCTAAAGTTAAAATCCCTAACAATCATCTCTCTCTAGGAATTTCCAGGTGAGATAAATTATGAGAATGACATATAAAAAAAAAAAAATCAAGCTCAAACTATCCTATAGACTTTTATCCATATTGTAATCATACATTAGAACCATCAGAATCTCAACTCAACTATCGACAATCTATCTTCTTCTTATACTCGGGTTTAAGCTTAATCTTATCGGTTTTTTATTTTGTAATCTCATATCTAAATTGTTCAGTTCTCACTATTTTTACTATTTTCTTGTCTCATTTAGACTAACTTAAAAGATTTTTGTTTTATTTTATTTTAACTATTCAAACTTTTTAACTTTAACTTTTCTTAAAATCGTTAAAGTTCTAAATTATCCAATCAAAATTCAACATTTGGAAAACTCATAAAATTCTACTAAAAAATCACAAAGTCTAACTTAGCCTTTTTGTTCATTCGATGGTTTAGTTTTCAAAACCAACAAAATAAAACCTTACTTTTTTTTTGAATTGCTATAAATTATTTGAAAGTTAAATTCTCTACAACCTTTTTTTTAATCATGGTGCTACAATATTTTCTTGAACCACATTAATAACCTAAAGTTAAAGTCCCTAACAATCAGTTCTCAAAGAACTTTAGAACACGTAAAATTCTTCTAAAGTATTCTTCTAAAAATTACAGAGTTTAACTTAGCCTTTTTGTTAACTGGATAGTTTCATTTTTTTTAAAAAAAACTTACTTTTTCTTTTGAATTGCTACCTCTCATTTTAAAGTCAAATTTTTTACAATAGTTTTTAGAAGTAAGTTAAAAAATATACTTTTATTGTACATTTTAATGTATACTATATTCAACCCCGTGCATCCGCACGAGAACTTTTTTTTTAATTTATCAAATTTTGTAATATAATTTATGTTTTTATTTCTGTGTATATATAATTTTCTAATAAGTGATAAATATTTTTTTTGTTTATATATAAGTTGCTTCGATTGATTTAATTTTTTTAGTATATATATGACTGCGATTAGAAAAATATTATTCTAACTCATTCGTTCATATTAATCCGAAAAGTATAATGATTATAAAATGTCATTATAACAAGATCATTTATATTAATCCCAAAAGAACCGTAATTATTAAAACATAATTCGTAATTCCAAATAAAATAGTGAAAAACTCTTTTTTAATATTTCGCTCCAATTAATTCCTATTTTTATTTTTATATCAAATTATTGTTATTTGGTATGGTATAGAAAAAATAAATAAATTTTGGATATGAAATTCATATATAAAATTATTTATTCATTAATTATCCGCTAACACACCCATAACACAAAACAAAAGGTTGATAAAACGAACAAAACAAAAACAGAAAAATAAAAAGAAACAAACTAAAACAAATCTCATCATATCCAGAGATATAATCATTTGAAACATAAAATACAATCAAAATGCTTATTTTAACCACATCTAAGTGATGAATGATAATGTGTATATTATAAGGTTTCTTCTTGCGTCTTCCTTCCGACCTTGTTTCTAGTACTGGCTCTGGTTGTACTCAGGCCAATTCATATTGTATCTCGGATCGAACACATCAAAAACATTGTAGTTATCGCTATATCCAAACATTGGTCCATAATTAGGAATAACCATGTTCGGATCATAGTTCAATGCATTCACATCGAACATTCTTCCCTGGTCAAAAAGATCGATATTGCCACCACCAACAATGTTGTTATAACTTCCACCATAGCAATTTTGAGGAACAATTGCTTGTGAGGGTTGGGATGGTTGAGTTTCCAATTCCATTCGCAAATTTTCCAAAACACTTATTAGACAAGTGGTTTGAGGTAAGTCAAGTTGATTCGGAGGATTTTCCCACCATTTCTCTATTTCTTCTCTCTTATTTCTTATCTTATCCAAAAATTTCTTCCTTTCTTTCTCCACTTTAAGCTTTGCCAACTCCTACAATTAAATTTGTATTGTGTAAGTAACCAACTCACACTTTTATATAATAAAAATTAAACTTGTCTTAATAATGATCTTTCATCTAATTTTTCGAGTGAAATATGCGGCTTATATGTCTAGAATACGTGAAACAACACAATCTAACTAAATGAACAAGAATACCAATATTTTTTGTTTGATTGCCATGCCAATTATATGTTTATGCATGTATATTTGACATATATTGAGCTATTAATGTTTTTTTTCCTTATTTAATGTAATCGACATGGTGAAGCATATAAAAATATAGATCACTTATATATATTTTTATAAAACATAGAAATCAGAAAAGCAATTGATGTTTACCTGAGTGAGTTGACTGTTGAGATCTTGGATAGTTGTGTTCGGACCATCTTCAAAACACATATAAGGACCATGAAGATAATTTTCAAAACGGTTAATTACAGATTTAATATCCGGATTTCCGAAATAAAACATTTTTCGACTCGGTGAAAACACAACTACTCCCATTTCTACACCACATAAAGTACAAAGTTCACTAGCTTTTTTAAAAAAACCGTATTTTCTTTTTGAAAAAGTAACTTGAAGGTTGCTGGCTTTTTCCATCTTCACCATCGGAAGTTTCCGACGGCCTCTGTAAACTCTTGCCATTCTCAAAAAAAAATTAAAACAAAATAAAAATAAAAAATAATATTGGTAAATGAAATTCATACTTTATATTTATAGAGAGATGTTACTTACATATATTTAAAATTTAACCTTTTAAAGTAAATTTATTTTCAGTATTCTGATTATATAGAATTTACTTATTACCACTTGTAGCTCTCAATAGTTATCCCTATATTTTATATATAAGGTATAAAATCATGATATTCTAAATGAAACATTTTCATTTTATCTGTTACAGTTCACCATAATCTGTCAAATGTAAGATATTTATTTCAAAAAAAAAAATAGCTAATGTTTAGATTATATCTTGTAATGAAGATATCATAAAATTTTAACTTATACGATAGATCCTTTTTAAAATACATCATGCATATACCATTTTTATACATGTGGCTTCACACATTTAGATTTAATACTTATCGTTCTGAGTCATTTTGTTGTGATTCTCTCTTTTTCTCACTGAGGTTTGTTTTCCGATCTCTTTTGCAAGTTGTTTTCTCTAACGCTCATTAGCATTCATTAACTTCTCTCACACATATCCCTTCTTTTTTATTACATTCTTCTTCACTTATACATATAGGATGTTTTCGCCAACTGCTACTCCCTTCCACTTACTACATTAACACCTTAACTACAGAACTTAGACTGTCTTACACAAGCCACTGTACTAAGTATTACACTTAGCTACTCTTATAATTGTTACTTAAACTCTAATAACTCTCATTGTTCTTACTTGGTTCTTTTGCATACTTTATATAACAAGACACTCTTTCTCCTGGGCATAATTAATCCGCACTTTATATAACAAGACACTCTTTCTTCTGGGCCTAATTAATCTGTAGCCCATTTCTCTTCATAAGGCCGCACCACACAATGAGCCCATTTTTCATTCTGTTGACTTTACCTCTTTGACCACTTCTTCTTCTTCACGACATTCTTCTCCTTTTTGTCTTCTTTTAACTTCTTATTGATTCTGATTCTTTTTTTTCTTTCCTTTTCCAGAGGCAATCAAAGGATTACCACTCAACACTCCCTCTTTAGCTTTTGATTTGTTTCCCTCATTTCAGCTTAGGGTTTTGAATTTTGATGCCCTTTATTCTTCTCGACTTGTTCCTTTGCTTGTTTGAGGAGCACTCATTTGAACGTCAGCATAGCTCCTGGGTAAGTTTCATTTTTCAATTTCCTTCTCTTTCTGGGTTTTTATGGAGTCAGCTCCCTTTTCCCCTTCTTGCTTTGGGGCTCCCTCTTGAACTGTTACCTTATCAATTTCAATTTTTTTTAGTTTCTTCTCTTTCTGCAGATTCTTTGCTGAGAATCCTCTGCTTCCTTCCTCCTTCGTAATGATTTTCTGCTTATCACAATCAGGTAATTTCCTTACATTTTCCTTGTTTGAGCTTTGCAGCTTCTACTTCTCTTGGCAATTTGTCTTGTTCTTCTCTATTAGTTCTGAGTTCTGGTAATTCCGCAGCTCTTTATCTCCTGGATCATCTTTGCTTTCCATTGAGTCTTCTCAGCATCTTTGTTAAGTCTGGCTTAAACGTTTGCGTTTCTGCCGATGATCTCGTCAATCAGCTTCTTCTCCTTCTCCTTCAAAGATAAGTTTGCCTTATATTGATTGGTATCAATTTTTATCACCATCTATTTAGTTTGGTTTCTTGAACAACTTCCTTGGTTTCCTTAATCTCAACTTCACTTTTGTTGAACTTAGTCTTCCTCTGATTCTCAACATTGATTTCAGGCTTCTTCTCCATTTTTATTGCAGGGTTTTCTTCAGGTTTCCATTGCTGTGACATCATTGAGCTAGAAGCTTCAACATACCCTGCTCCTTGATAACTTGTTTCAGTCTCTTACTTTGACACTGTGTTCATTGCCTCCCTGCTCAATAGCATGTGAAGATGGAAGCTTTTCTTGGCCATTTCCACTTCAGCAATTTTTTTTCCAATTTGATCAAGGATGATGCAGCTTCGGTGCTTAAAGGTAATTGTATACCCGTTTGCAATCATTTGTGAGACACTTAGAAGATTCTTAGCAATTTTAGGCACTAAAAGCACATTCTTGACCATTCTCTTCCCTTTGGTTGTCATAACTTCAATGTCACCTTTTCCCTTGGTAGTTAATGCATTTCCATCACCAACACGGATTGGAACTTTGAAGCTTGTATCAAGTCTCATGAACAGCTTCTCATTTGGAGTCATGTGGTTAGCGCAACCACTATCAATGAACCAGGTGTTTTCTTTGAAGAGATTTTCATCTTCTTTTCTTGCGGAGAACATATGGTACTCTTCATCTTCATTTTCTTTTTCTTCTTGGGTTGTTTGTGCTTGTTCAGATCTCCAGTTTCTGCAATTCTTTGATATGTGCCCTAGTTTGCCGCAGATGAAGCAGCTTCTTGTATCTCTGTCTATGTTGAACTCAGGTCTGCCTCTTCCATTCTTGAAGTACCACACTTCTTCATTGTGAGTATCTCTTTTACAGAATCCACACCACCTTTTTTCTCTGTAGTTATTTTGACTTGTGTTGCCTCTGTCATTGTTTTCTATGTTTAGGTTCTTAAACCGAGCATGGAAAGCACCTTCAGCATTTTCTTCCTCTTCATCTAGAAATTTCTTTTTTTCATGGGCTTCCAGAGAACCTATCAGCTCTGCATAGGTAACTGAGTTGACATCCTTGGTTTCTTCCATCAAAGAGGCTAAGCCTGCATAACTCTTCGGCATAGATGCTAGCATTTTAACTACCAAGACAAAGTTTGATCTATCTCCACCTAGTGCCCTCATTTGATTTGCTACAGATTGTATCCTATCAGAGTAGGCCTTAACTTTTTCTCCTTTCATTTTCAAATTCTCAAACACTCTTCTTAAGGACTGTAGCCTAACCATTTTTACTTTTTCATTACCTTGATAGAAATGTTCCAGGAGATCCCAAACCTGTGTTTGCAGTTGTTGCAGAAAGGATTTTGTCAAAGATGGTGTCAGCTACGGCATATTGAATGATTTGAAGTGCAGTTGTATCCTTGGCTTTGAGTGTCTTCAGGTTTGTAGCTTCTTTTGACCTATCGGCTCCTGGTGTTTCAGGTGATTTTGATAGTGTTTCTGGAGGTCTTTCCTTGACAATCTCCCATAGTTCCTTGTTCATCATAGTCGTCCGCATCCTTACTGCCCAGAACTCATAGTTTTTTCCATCAAACATAGCAACTGATTGAGATGATTGCAGGTTAATCACCATCTTTGAGCTTCACTTTCTTTCCTCCTTTTTGTTTTCTTCTTCTTGTGCTTTCTTCAACAGGCTCTAAGGACAACCTGGCTCTGATACCATGTTGTGATTCTCTCTTTTTCTCACTCAAGTTTGTTTTCTTCTCTTTTGCAAGTTGTTTTCTCTAACTCTCATTAGCATTCATTAACTTATCTTATACATATTTCTTCTTTTGATTACATTCTTCTTCACTTATACATATAGGAGGTTTTCGCCAACTGCTACTCCCTTCCACTTACTATACCAACACCTTAACTCTAGAACTTAGACTGTCTTACACAAACCACTCTACTAATTATTACACTTAACTACTACTCTTACAACTGTTACTTAAATATTAACAACTCTCATTGTTCTTATTTGGTTCTTTTGCAAACTTTACTAGATTCAACCACGTGCATCCGCACGGAAACTTTTTTTTTTAATTTATCAGATTTTGTAATATAATTTATGTTTTTATTTTTGTGTATACATAATTTTCTAATAAGTGATAAAGAATTTTTTTTTTGTTTATATATAAGTTGCTTCGATTGATTTATTTTTTTTAGTATATATATATGATCGCGATTAGAAAAATTTTATTCTAACCCGTTCGTTCATATTAATCCGAAAAGTACAATGATTATAAAAATGTCATTATAAGATGTTCATTTATATTAATCCAAAAAGAACCGTAATTATTAAAACATAATTCTAACCCGTCCATTCATATTATTTGTCTATTTTTTATATTTTTGAAGTTTGAATATTTAAAAATTTAGATTTATTCAATAAAAATATACAATAATATATCATTTTCATATTTTTCATTGAAACTATTATTTAAATTTGAATATTTAAATTAAATCTAATTAATATCTGATCAATTATTTTTGTAAAAATATAATAATAACTTATTTTATGATTTTTGATAAATAATATAACCTATATTTAAGGAAATCTATAACAAATCTAAATTCAAATTTAAATTTTCGAATTTATTTTGAAATATAAATTAAAAAATATTATTTACTAATATTATATTAAATTGACTTATTTGGTAACATAAATAAAAGTTATCCAAAAACAGAATAGTAGAAAACTAAGTAAAATCCGTTTGGACAAAAAACATGCTTCACTTTTGATAGTATAGATATGTTTGAAATGGACAATTTTTGGGTTTACCCCTAGGGGTTTAGGGGTTTAGTATACTATATAATTTAATATAAAAATAAATATTATCTTAATTAAACAATTAAGGTAAGTTAACTTTTTATCACAAGAAATTAAAAAATTTAATATTATGTAAATAAAATAATTCGATTTAGTTATTAAAATAATACTTTTATTTACTCTCTTTTATTTTAACCAATAAAAATCAGCCAAGTAATAAAAATAATTAAGGTAATTTATCAAAATAACATAATTTTAAATTTATCTTTATTTTTATATTTACTCTCTTTTATTTTAACCAATAAAAATCAGCCAAGTAATACAATTAACTAAGATAAATTATCAAAATAACATATTTTAAATTTTTTTTCTAATGAAAAAAAATAAACCCTAAATTGGAAATAGTGAACTCAAGCATAATATTAAACTTTATTTATAATTTATTTTTGATAAACATATATTTTTATATAATAATTTTCTATTTTTAAAATTTTAAACCCTAATCTCTAAATCCTAAACTCTAATCTTTATACCCTAAATTATAATATGTAAATATATAAGAAATTAAAAATAATGTATAT